TTCCATGTGCCTTCGAGCGTAGTTGATCTTTAAAACCAGTCTGTTACGGATTAACAAGCTGAGTCATTTAAAAGCAGTAAATGCATTTTTTAATGATTTAACTATATTTTTTTTGTGTGATTTATCCAACTATTATAAATGAAAAACTGCTTAATTTATAACACATGTCCAACTGATGTTTTTTAAGTATCTGTAGCTTTGTTGTAATGAATAAAAAATAGATTTAAAGCCATATTTTTAAGTAAATATTATAGCATAAATTTTTATATTTTACCAGTGTATTTCAAAAATCGTTTTATTACTCATAAGCAAACTAAACGAATTAAGAGTAATACCTGCATTTCATGATATTTTTAATCTTTATCTTCCTTTTTTATTAAAATATAACTGAAATAAAATAAAATGCATTTATTTTATAGTATACCTTTTTTTATAGTTTACCATTTATTTTATAGTTTATAGTATACTGATAATTTTTTTTTTTTTTTTGCAAATTTGTTATAGTTAATAGAAAACAAATGCTGATGTCATATAATGCACAATTACTAGAAATATTATTCATTTTTAAAATGCTTTAGTATTTTTAATATTGTTCTAATATTTTTTTTTATTTTAAAAGTCAAAATACTGTTAATATCTTGATAAAATTAATGCTGAATTATTATTCTTCGAATTATAAACCTATAACCTGAAGTTTCCAGGTTGCAAATGTTGCATTTTTTATTTAGCATTTTTTATTACTCAGTTTACACGTACACTTACTGTTTACTTATCTATAGTGTTATTATTTAATCAAACCTTATTTGTGTCATTCTTTTTCTTGCAGATATTAAGCACAATTTTAGCGATCCCCGCGTTATCTTTAATTTTCTTTATCTTCATCCTTCCCGTACAGTCTTGTAGTAGAAGTCATGTAAGAACATGGATCAAAGAATAGTTTTAAAATGACATTTTTTTTATAAAAAGGAGACTAGAATTTAATATCACCATGTTTTTCTCGTCAAAAAGTATTTCAAGGTATTCACTGCTTTTCATTTTAATATTTGTCTGCAACTAATTTATTTTTAAACAGCGAAACGTAGAGAAAGCATTTGAATGCATTTAAATTGTCACTTTTCTATTTAGTATAAGTCAGATACTTGCAGTAATTAATATTTTTGAACTTTATGTTCTAAAACTGCTTAAAATTAAATTTCTAAACACCTGAATTCTTTTGTTACATACTATCTCCTTTACCTAATCTCAGAATGTATTTTAAATGATAATCTCTCTCAAGCATAATATATGTAGATCATGAAAAAAAAGTCACGAGTGATTCAAAAACCAGTTTTGAAATCCCAGGCTGCTTTCGCTATGTAGGTTAGCCTTGAAAATAAATACATGCTTAAGGTGACGAATGGATAAGTGCACATTACTTTAACAGTGCATGAAAAAATATTTCTTCATATTCTGGAACATCTCCAATCGTGATAGGAATTAATACAGAAATAATGAGTATACGCATTCCTTTAAACGAACACTGTATACACTTCGAATCTTTAAAAGACAAATATTTTCGTCAAGGTTAAAAAATATTTTCGTCTATATTTTATCCTTATTTCATTATTTAGTTATACGCTCGTTAATATAAGTTTACTAACTTATTTATGCGTATCTAATTAATTTGTCAGAATGTATAGAGTATGCATTTAGCTAAAATTTCGTTATCGGCATATAGTTACTCTTTTTGAGAGCCATTTTAACACTTTTTGTATGTCAAGTTTCATATATAGGTACTATTATTAATGTATAAACGCTTAAGCAAAAAGAAATTGAAACTTTGTTAAATATCTTTCTGAATTTTGGAACTATTAATCAGCAGGTTCAGTCTGGTACTTTAAAACAGGAAATTCAGTGTCATTTTCCGCCCCCTGCCTTGCCTCGTAAGCGTTAAAACGACAACTGCAACAGACGATTTGTGTCGCTTTTCTCCCACACTAAATTTTCGCTTCATGAAAAGTTGATTCGAACTACAGTCTCAAATGAGCTGAGAAAATAAGTACTGTGTCGTGATGATCCAAATAAACACTCGTTGCAATGGCAAATTCTAAGGGCTAGCAAGAACCTATTTTAAAGAATTAGACTTATAAGGTATTTCGCTCGCCTTCGTGGTGTGATGGTCTGCATGATGGGCGCGTATTCCAGAGGTCTGTGGTTTAATTCCCAGAGAAGGCGTTGCTAATTTTTAATCTTGCTTGCTTCCAAAAATACCTAATGTCTCTACAACTATAGATCCGTTTGGGTCACTGAATCCGTAGCATTCGGAATTATTTCACAAGTTAAGGCACTTTACCGATTGCTTCTAAGCTCATTTTAAAATATCATTATGTTTGTACTGATTTATTATAGCATCAATAAACCTAATATTACGGTTTTAAATGGCGAAATATAGCCCTATATAATAATTCTGCCAACGTCATTATCTACATTCGCAACTAAAGTCAATTTCGGAAATTCTTCTTCGGCTGTTCTATGGACCGAAAGCTCATTATATCAGTCAAAGTATAAAATTGACTTCCTTCCTTCAACTTAATTCTGTCATTCAGAATTCTTTCGTTTTGTAGATTTTTAAAAATAAAGCTGAAATTTTCTGTTCTTCCTCTTATATAGAACTTTAGGTTATCATTCGATTATTAGTTCGGTTTAGTTTGGTTAATTATGACAAAGCACACAAAGGCTATCTGCCAAAAAGGAAGGATGTCTTCGTGGAGGATTTTTTAAGGAAAACTGGCTCGTGTCACTGGTCCACTGGTCATGAGGAAAAATATGAAAACGCCCATGCAGGGAACCTTGGTCGAATTTATCAACGTTCAGCTACCATTGAGTCGCTGTTTAGTCTCACTCGGTTATTAAAGCCCAGCATGTATATCGGTTTACCATTTTAACAGTCTGTCGATTAACAGATATTCTACGTAATTATAAAAATTCTCTTTTAAGTTTGAGAATAGAGAATATTTGATTATTTTAGTTATTTTGGCACTATATCATTGTATTCAAAGACTCTACTTTGATGGTCTTCTTATGTTTTAAATTCTATCATGTTTTGAATAATTTTGCCGTGACACACAAGCGCATATATCAAAAACAAATGTCAGAAACCTTAAATGAATCATTTCAGCAATGTTTCTAATACATTTGCTTTTTTTTACTTGCAAATTAAGAAGAAACGTAGGAATATCTAAACACATATTCGTTCTTAACACGTCATAACAGAAAAACATTAAAATAACTCAAATCGAAAGGAAACTTTATTTGTTAATTAAAGGAGACAATTTTTATATGTTATCTCTTGCTTCTATGCAGCTGTTAATATCTAAATTACTTTCTCTCAGTAGCTGTGTTTCGTGTCGTCTAGCATCAATGTGGAATTGTTTTATATTCATTTTTAATATTTTTTATTTACGAGTATTAATACAATATAGGATTTAAATATATATGCATCTAGCGGAATGTTGGGAGATACATGTACTATTACACGTAAACACACTCTCTCTCATCCTCTGCTCCCCAATTCTGCGCCTTTTGCTGGCGCCTTTCTTTTTAACCAGTGCCATTGGCTGATTATAACAGTTATAATTTAAATGTAAGGTGTATTCTCGATTATCTGGGTGCGGATTATCTGGGCGTAGCTGTGCCCACGCACACATTTTCAACGCTATTCGCGAGAATGTGTAAAAAATCGGAGAATATGTAAAGGAGAATAAAAGATTTGTAAAAAGAAGAATCAAAGATTTATATAATATGTAAAGAATAATCAAAGATTTATATAATATATAAAGAAGAATCAACGATTTTCATAATACATAAAGAAGAATCAAAGCTTTATATAACATAAAAAGAAGAAGAATTGCATTTAAAATCGGAGATTTATCTAATTATGATGGAGCCAATAACTGAGGCTGTATAAAAAAAAATTGCAAATGTAAAATTCTTCGAAGATCGGGAAAATATCGAGGAAATGGTTCGATGGCCTGCGACTGATCCGTACTTCCAGTATTTGAGATATCCGGATATCGTTTCAAATGCTGCTATGTTGCAAAAGAAGCAAAGAGTTATATTGAAAATACAGACGAAGCTACTTGCAATTTCATTAACCTCGAAACAGTAATTATTTCTGTTAAAACTTTATTGCATTTCGCCCACCAAAGGAGATTCAAATACAACGATAAAAGAGTATTTCAAAAACTCCGCAGTGAAATTCGGCAAATGTTTAAAAGCTCTCAGTAATAAAATAAAATTTATGAGTTTTTTTAAAAAATAAACACATACAATATGCACGAAAAATTCATAGTTTGCATTATTCGTGTTTTTCAGTTATCCGTTATTTCAAATATCCTCGATTAGCCCGAATTCTCAAAAGTGCACTGTAGGTGTGCTATATTTATAACGGAAGGTATTGTTTACAATCTCTGTTGTGCCCGAAAGCGTTTGTCACATTTTTCCGCTCTGCTTAAAAGATGCTATTTTATAAGCTGTAAATTTATTTTTTGAAAACTGTTTAAGGTAAAAATAAAACTACGTAAACATATATTTAAAAGAAAGCTACGTTTCTTATTTACAGTTTTATTCATTTAAAATATTTGACATTATTTTAGGAAACTAAAACTGTCAGACTCTATTTGTGCGCCACACTATTTGTCTGCAAACATTCTTCATAAATGAGTTCCAAAACATCTCTTCGAATCCATTTGTCCTCAACATTTTTTCAGAGTCGAAATTTACATTTATTCCTGTTATGTGAATAAGTATGATATAAATGTGATAATTATATGTGAGTCGTTTAGACACATTAAAATGCTCACTTTAGTTTTTTCTTTCCAAATATTTTACGCTGGAAGGCCTTTTTATCGAAATAAATATCCATAAATTGCCATTTTTAGCGAAGGAAAGGATAAAGCAAGTCTTTTCAAGCAATTATATTTTGTAAATCAACGTATAATATAGACTTTTTTCCCCTCCAGAGGTGGAAAAAGTTGAATCATGGTTAGATGAGCATCCTCATTTTGTATACGACTATTTTATACGAAAGGCATCTCGACAGATGGTGGATACATGGCTTTTGGTTCATTCTGCACCTCAGGGCATGGTACAAGAAAGCTCTTCGACAAACACTACCCCGACGAGCACCAACTCTGGTTCGACGACTCCTGTCAGAAAAATATCTGCTCAGGAGTTCAACAGAAGCGGGCTTCTGGGGTAAGTGATCTTAAAAATACTTCTGTTTAAAGGAATTTTTTATATTATAATTAGGAAACTTAATATTTTTATATTCTGTTTAAAGGAAATTTTTATATTAATTTTACTACTTCACTTTTTGTTAATTTGTTACTGATAATTATTGATTTTCTGAGTACATGAGATTACAAAAAAAAATTTCAAGGGACAAAATCTAGGATTGTAAGAAATCCTTATAAATGTGTGACGTTCCGTACAGCATATCTTACGAAATGAACCTGCGATAATATTATGCAGGATTTTCAAAAATGTACAATGCTTCAGATCATTATTATCTAAAGCAGCGTTTTCCAAACTGTGTTCTGTGGAACGCAGGTGTTCCACAAACAATTCTTAAGTGTTTCGCAAAACTTTAGGAAACTGAGGTTAGAGAACAACGAAACATTGTCTGCTTTTATGTATTTCGTATAATTTAAAGCAACTGTTTAAAGAAATTTAGAGAGAAAACATAAAAAAAGGCTTTAAATCGGATGCATTGTTAGTTTAGTAATGTATAGGGGGGGGGCCAAATAAGACCTACTAATGTTAAACACGGATAACTCTTGTAATAATCATTTATTTTGATTAATTTTTTATACATTAAATATATTTTATAGAAATTATGTATGAAATATGACATCAGACAAATGTCCACCATTTTTCTCGATCAAGAGATTGGCTCTTTTTAATGCGTTTTCTGCTACATCACGTAATGTTTTTGGTTGAAGGCTCAGTATTTCGTCTCGAACATTCTGCTTCAACTGTCTAATAGTCACTGGGTTATTAAAATACACTTTGTATTTTAAATATCCCCATAGAAAAAAAAATTCTGCTTCGCCACTGGCCGCAAAAAGTTTCCACTCATTGTTCTGTAAGAAGCTCCGTAAATCGTTTCCGGCGTTCCATCCTCATTCTCGAAGAAATATGAGCCGATAACTCTATTGGCCATAACACCGCACCAAACAGTACACTTGAATTAAAATATTGCCGATATTTGCGCTGCGTCATAACAATTGATCGTTGACAAGACTAGAAAAACTTGATAATTTTAACGCGTTGCTTTGTACTGTATGGTTCCATAATAAATTTCCAAGAATTCAATTATAACCTAAGAAAAGAAAGAAATAATTATATATATAAAAAAGTTATGGTTCCATAATAAATTTCCAAGAATTCAATTATAACCTACAAAAAGAAAAAAATATATATATATATATATATATAAAGTTATTTCTGTTTAACATTGGCAGGTCTTATTTAGCTCACTCTACAGAAAGGCACCTTGCCTATGAAATATATGCAAAAGTCATTTCTGGTAGTATTTCTATTCTAGGTTCAAAAGTGTTTCAGTGGCACTTTAGTATTTTAAGATAGTTTTCTTCAGACCTTCTTATTTTATTTTATTCTTTTTGAAAATATCAAGGAAATATAAAAATGTAACTATTAATATGTTTAATTATTTTAATCGCCCCAAGGACTACTGTTTATAAAAACAAACATTATAGTTTCCGGTGAAATACCAGAAAAGTCAAATTTTGCGATCACTTTTCTCGCTGTAAAAACCCTTTAAATCAGAGACTTTTTTTTTTCAAAGTAATCGAAGTCATTGGAAGCTAAAAGCGTCTTTGATTTTTTTAACATTATTTGCTTAATTTAATTAGTTTTATGTGTCATTTTTTGTAACATACAAAGTTTAAAAACCTTTCTTTTCTTTATATGATATAAAAAATTCAGTAAATTGTTTATTTATTTTAATGTTTATCTAACATACCTGTGTTTTCATTTGTTATAATATTAAAAATCTGAATTTATTTTAGTGTTCCTTTATAATTTTAGAATTTAAAAAGTGTTCCGTGATGAAAAAAAAAAAACTGGGAAACCCTGTTCTAGGGATTAAGCCTGCATTTGCAAATTAAACAGTTTAGTTGATCATGCTGTAGAATACTTCTAGTACTTCCAATAATTTTTAAAAATATATATTCTGAATTACCCAAAAATACCAGTGAAAAAAAATCCATCTGTAAATTTTAACTTTGGATTAGATAGCAACGAAGATAGACTTCATGAAGATGATCTTTGCACCTTGTTAAATCTGTCAATTAATATTTTTCCACGAAACATATGATAGCAAACTTCAGAATGAATTCAATCAGTAAAAGAAAAATATATGAGGTCTTGAAATATTTCACAGCGAAGAAAACGGAGGTAAATGTAACATGCTGTTAGACCAACGTAATTTCTTTATTGGCAATTCCTATTTTATTTTTTTTTTAAATAACAAGAAAATGCCTAAAGTTTTCTTTAAAAATATTTATAGGAAAACACATATTCGTATTTCTGAGTATTTTCTTTCTTCCCCCCCCCAAATTGATTTCTGGATTTTCCTCTTAATGGGATCGATTGCCAAAAATAAAATTGCTTTTTATCTCTCAAACGCGGAGTTCGGCTATTTTACCTGTAGCAGTGTTTTTCAAAGTGTGCATGACGACTGGGGTCACGAAATATTTTGTAGTACTCTTTTTCGTACTGTATAATCATATATATTTAACTATAATTAAAATTTAATTCATAACTATTCGTTTGGTGAAAACGGATGGAGTTTTGATGAAATTTTTCAAAACAAATTGTTACTTTTTTTTTAAAAGGTTATAAATTAAGCTTCCGAAAATTACTTTTATTTTGTGTCTCCGCTCGAAGCAGAATTATGAGTCTTCTTTTACGCTGTGAACCGGAAATTTTTGTCTAAGAACCCAGAAGTTGATGTCTAAAGGTACACAAGCAACTCTAAATAACTTCAAAAGGAACATTTTTCCATTTCAATATTTTTGGTGATGTTCAAAAGATAATTTTGAACCTTTCTATTTGTTATTAAGTTCTTAGGAGCAGATTTAGTTTCAGATTTAATTTTCATACTTGGGAACATTTTCCTTTCCTTCCGCTTGTATTTGCATTACGTTAAACCTATTTTTTGAAAAATTTGATTTTTTTCCCAACTTTTATGGTACAAAGAAAAACGTTAACTGAAAATATTACCACAGTAATTTTATGAAACTTTCCACAAATATTCCATGAAATATTTTGATATTTTGAATTAAATATACTAAAATGTTAGCTTTATGTTTGTATCTAGATTTTTTTCAGACACACTGAAACGAAAGAAATTTCTCGAGAAATAGCTAGTGTATATATTCAAACAGGTATATTTAAAATGCATTCTACTTTGTCTTAGTCCATTTAATTCCTTATACCATAATAGATATAAATGACAAAAATAATAGTAAAATATTGATAAAAAATTTTGTTGGAAAACGTTTAATAATCCTGAAATTTTACACATTTTAACCCAAAATGTAAAAAAAATCTAAAAATTATTCTTTGAGAATATGTTTATCGCCGATTTCTGTTATTTTAAATAGTATTCTGCTAAAAAAATAACACCAATAATAGATTTATTTGTACTATTTTCCACAATCTGCATGTCAAACGCAGTCGTATACCTTAAACATCTTATACCACGATACCATATTTACAAAGCTAGTTGTTGTTTGGTGTCTTGTATAGGTACTATTTCCTATTTATCCCTATATTTAAATTTCAAACCTTAGTTATTAAGTAACAGATATTTTATATAATATAATTCATATTCGTCAGTCACCAATAAATTATCTTTCTGATGTTGTTACATTCATCACATTTTCTTGCTTAGATGAGAAAAAAATAAAGGGTTTTACCGCAGAAGTAATATATATATGATGCCTTCGTCTATCATAAAATATATTAATTTATAGATGTGGTAGTATTCTTTATTACAGACAGGTAAAGGTAAAGGTAAAAGTATGGGGGACACCAGCGATGTACCATTTTATTACAGACAGCAGCTTCAAGGCTAATACTTGATAAGAGTATTAAGATTTCAAATTATTTTTTTACTTATAATTTTAACTAAATTATGTATGACAGCCCATGAATTTGAATGTAAATTTAAGTAAACTGCAATCACAGATTAGCATTAAATTTAGGCTCTGCGCATTTCAAAAGAATTTGACGTATGGAATTTGTCAGAGACCTATGACAAATTCTTCCAAAATTCATTAACAATTCAATTGTAAATTCTTATTTAGTTTTTAAAAAAGGGAATTCCTGTTTAAGTGATCATGTTTCTGCATAGCAGCCGCTATTAAAAGGATTGAATTAGGGCTGTCACCTAAAACGTCGAATGCAAAGTGGTATCGCACCGATAGGTTTAGGAAAAGGCGCCGAAAATTTGCCCCTTGGGAACGAATACCATAAGGCCGGTCCCTTTTCTCTTTTGCAGTATTTATACAAGTATACTTTTATTCTTGCGTTCAGCATTTAACATTTTCTCAGTATTGTTTACTAACTTGTGGCATGTTTCTATTTTTCAGCCCCATCGTCAATACGACAGTGGATGGCATTCCGACGTTTCTCACATTTCCTCTGCCGGGCGATACTGCCTTGCCTTCTTTCAACAGAGCAGGTCGGAAGAGTCGGCAGGAGCTTCGGGCCCTAGACGAGCGGGAGTTGATCTTCGAGCTCGTCAAGGACATCTGCAACGACCTTGAGATTCGAAGTCTGTGTCATAAGATCTTACAAAACGTCAGTATCCTAACTGATGCCGATAGGTGCTCACTGTTTCTTGTCAGGGGAGAAAAAGGGCAACCTAATAGGTAGGTTTTCTCCTTCAAAATAAGGATAACAAGGAGTTCTTCAATGAATTTTACTTAATTACTTAAATTATGTGGTATAAAATCAGTTTTCAAACATGTATAAAATCTGAGTTCATTACAAAAATTTACTCAAGTATTATTTCATGTAATTTTTTTTTAAATATGCATTTAAGAATTGTGGACCACATTTTTATTATTTAATGTATACAGCATTCATTTCCAAACTCAAATTTTGAATTAATTCCTGTTGAAGTTGACAAATTCATTAATTTTTTGGTCATTGTCATAGTATTCTCTTACATATTTCATATGACATGGATAAATATTTAAATATTAGTTGGTATATTTACCAGTTAGTGTAAACATGTTTTAGTTTAACAATGCGTGGCGTAGTGATAGAGAGACGGCTACCATAATCTTGTTTCCGGATATTGAGAGGGTATAGATATCTGTAAGAGTATAATATCTTTGCGGTATGAAACACTTAAAATACTGTCGAGCCGGAAGTCCTTTCAAGAGGCTAATTATAGGAGGCCTTCGATTTTGTCTCCTGAAACGTTCTCTTTCATTTGTTCCTTCTATCTGGAGCTTCCCCTTTCTTGCTGGTTTATTTCCATCTGTCGCCACCTGTGGTGCACTCTGGGTAACGTTCTTAGTGATGAGATGGCCATATGATCGATGCGTGTTCAGCAGTTACTAACGATCGGCAGTTAGTAATTAGTAAAGTGTGTGCCCCCTCTGTAGGAGAATTTAAAAAAAACATTTTTTTAATTTCTTAAAATTGATACAAGATTTCTTAAACTGTTACAAACCTTAGACATTCTCATTAAAATTGTTTTGCTAGTTCTTAAATATTGAAAAATTATTTGTAGAGCAACATGTATTTAGCAGATCCCTGTAAAAAGCGATAAACATGCTACAAATATTTTAATTTGTTGCCTTCTATGAAATGAAACTAACATCTGGGGATTACGAGGAAGTTAACTGATAACGGGGTAATTAATTATTCTGTTATTAAGAGAAAGACTTCTCTAAAATAAAATGAACTTTTGTAAACAGGGAAATTCTATGTAAAAGAGGTATATGTATAAACTAAAAAAAAAAGTTTGCAAATGATCAACGGACTGAATCGTTTTAAAAAATGGATAGATCTTGCTAAGTTGAAGAATTTGTTGAACTTCATGAAATAAAAACAAATCTCGTTAATGTGAGATTTATTAAAAAATGTATAAAGTAAAATAAAATGCTGTTAGAGAAATATATTCCGTATAAATGAGAAGACAGTGCTATAAATGAGAAACAATGCTTTGCTAATACAAATAGCTTGCATCATCTGATTCCCTAACGCAACTAGCAAAATGCATTCTTACTTAAATCAAGAAATATCGTAAAATCGTAAGTGTAATAAATCATGTGCAAATTAATGCTGCTGCTATTTTTTCTTATAATATCTATATCATAAGATTTTTCTTCCAAGCATGTTGTATAGATCAGGTTTACGTACTGTTTTTTCACTATTTAGTGTATGGTTTCTCTAAAATCTCAGGCTGGAAAATGATAGACGCTAGAAATACTAGTATAAGATATGACAACAAAATCCGAGGAATGATGTCCTAGGATGTGTACGCGTGGTAGTGCTCTAAAGACAAAACGCGGAAACGGTACCCCATAACATGTTTAAAGATGCCTAACGACGGAATAGACATTATATACATTTCTGTTAGTAGTGCTTCAGAGTGCAAAGGTGTAACGGCATCTGTAAAATGGAGCATCGAAAGTTATGTATCATGCTTCTGCTAATGAAAGTCATAACATGCTGAAATAAATTTGCAGAGATGAAGCCATATATGTAAAGTGCCTTTATGAATGGTATAAACTAACGTATCTCAGTCTGTAGTCCATTAGTCACTAAAATCATCTCAGTCTGTAGTCCGCTGGTCACTCGAAAGCTAACCTTATGTTCCTCCTAGGTTTCCAAAAAAGGCTAAAAAAATAAAATTCAGTTTAACTGCATATAGCACACAGTTGAAAATCACAGTGTTTGAAAATTTAAGATGACAATCTTCTATCATGTTTTCTGCCTACACTAACATCTTATGAAATTTATTACCGCTGTCCTACGAACGGACTTCCCAGTCTAATCTTAGCAACAAAAGAAGGTTTTGAAGCACTGTGACTGTGGTGCTTCTTACTGGTAAACACCTATACAAAAATTGGCAGGCTTATCTATCTCAATAATGTATGCGCTAATAATTTTTAGTTAATAAAATAAAGATTTTATAAACACTATTAGCCATGAATTATTAAAAATGAATATAAATTTACTCCTGTTAAATGAATCACTGATTACCAGTGTAAAATTTAATTAATGATATTTTTAAAATGAAAGCATACTGTTAGTAACAATTATAAAAATATTACTTTATATATAAAAATATTTACTTTCGAAAGGGACAAGGATAAGGTGGCCTCAGAGCATTCTAATTTATATAAGTGTTCCCACTTAAAAAAATTTTTCAAAAGTTAGTTTAAACGTATTCGGGAAAAAACGAAACTATTAAAGATGCTGCTCAAAATAGTAGGCTTACGACGACGTCTGTTAGTGACGAAAGTTATTTTCTAAATTGGCGTGAAAACGTGAAGCTAAGCGAACCTGTGGTGAAATATAAAAAAATCTTAAATAAACTTTATAATAAATAATATTAACAATCTTAGTACTAATGCTCAATGACCTCTGTTTTTCTTTTTCCCAGGTGTTTAGCGAGTCAACTGTTTGATGTGTCTTGCAGCTCCACGATCGAACAAATGCAACAAAAAGAAGAGATCCAAATCCCCTGGGGAACGGGGATTGTTGGATATGTTGCAGAAAGCAGGGAATCACTCAACATCCCAGACTGCTATCAGGTAAGCACAAAGATGCAAAGATTTACAATTTTCCTACTTGGCATCATACCATAATTTTGAATTACGTTGGAAAGCGAAATCTTTAATTAATTTTTATTGAATAGATTTCTCTTTATTAATTCTTCATATATATGGTTCTACAATGATATAGTTTTCACTATACTGATTTTAAGAACTCTGACTTCTATATTGATTCCAGTCTTAAACTATTGATCTATTATGTTGTCTAAGATTATTTTCAGAACACGTGAGTCGTCCTAGATTTATTTAGGTTTTAATTAGTCTTAAATCCCTAAAAGGGTTATTAGTTTTGAAAGATAATTTTAGGTTGATTCATTTTAAATATCGCCTTTGTGTCACATTTCATTCGACTCTGTCGCCATTTTCTAAAATGTAATGTCTTTTAAATTGAATATGTCTGTAACTAAGGTAACTAAGGTATTCTAAAAGCAGTTGATGCAGATCTTAAGATTTTTTTAACGTGATTGATTTAAGAAAAAGGAATTTAATTCATGATATATCTAATTAAAAACATTCAATAATGTTACACAATGAGATTATATATTTTTCATTTTTCAAATATGCAGATGATATATAGTGTTCTCATGCTATTTTAATATATAATTGTGTAGTATCCTATAAAATATTTCGTTATTTCACTTTGGCCATCCCTGTTGATATTCTCTACTGATAAATCATATTAAACTTTAAAAGAGCCCCGTTTGGGTGACCCTTAAAATCGGAGCCCTTTCGGAGTTTTTTTTTTTTTTTTTTCCAAAACATTATTTTGGGAAAAGAAATAATAATTATCTCTGTTAAATAAATAAAATTACGTGCTGTGTATTTATTCAGTCATCTTCATACTGAATGTGTAACCCATTGAATAGTAAAGAAAATAAATGAGTATTGGAAAAAATAAAAGTGTTATCTGTATTTGTGAAGCTTGTTTTCTTTTTGTGCACAGTCAAAAAATCAATACATTTACATTATATATCATACAATGCCCCAAATGGAGAATTTTTTAATTAGCTATTTTTAATTTCTTGTTTTCCCATTCCGCTTCTGTACAGTACACAATGTGCTCTTGACAATATTCGAAATTTTTATTCATTTGGCTCATGCTTCACATCTTAAACAATGATGCTTTGCTTTGGGCATTAATAATAGTATCAGGCATGTAGTATTGAAAGTGGTGTCAGTCAAATTAAAACTGAAACATTTTTTAAATCTGTTTGCTGTATTTCCAGATATATAAAGAACTATTCCAGTGTAATATGTGACATATAATAAATACCCCGTAGAGATGTGCATGAATCATTTATAGCGAAAAAATAGTAATTAAAATAAATAGCTTCCATAGCATTTCAGAAGCGCAAATGACGCTAGAGTAAAATACTTGATTCAAACTTGAAAAAAACCAGAAATATTTATCATATTTATATTCTATAAAATAATATTATTTACTGTTTTTACTTGCGTATTTCCTTTTTTTTTTTTTTTTTTTTTTTTTTTTTTTTACAAATTTTATCCTGCAAAAATTGAGAGGGAAATATTATGCGAATAATTTAATTTCTGAAGGACGCGTTTGCAGTAAGAATATAAAAATGAAAAGTAGTCATAGATAAACTCCAATTTTATTGTTTTAAAATTATTACTTTAATGTTATTGATTTGTTCTTCAAATGTCGGCCTGCTGTTATTCTTATACACTGTTATTCTCTACGCCTCAAATCATTTAATGCTGCTGGAACTGCTGTTTTGAGTCGTCTGCTAGAGCTTTCAAATCATCGCCATCGTCACTGTTGTCATCCCCTCCGTCACCGTTCAGTCTATCCAAGGTTTCTAAAATAATATAAGAAAGTATTTTACTGATCTTGAGTCTATCTACCTATGTCCCCCCGCCACAGGGGTCGACACAGGAAAACTTGCGAAGCTACTGGCTAGGATCTGTACCTTGTTAGTCTCAGCCACAGGGGTATAAAATCACGAGCATGGTGGTTCCCCGTAACCTGTAGGTGTAAGCAGATAATCCTGACTTTTCCGGATATAACTCGACTGGCTCAGAGGAGGAGTGAGCCCTGTGTTAGACCCAAAGCTGGCATGAGGCATCCTGCATGGTACTGGCGGGTAACAATTTTGACGACTAGTAAGATCTCAAGACCTGCATGTTCCCCGCCGCTAAGAATCCTGGGAACCGGAAGTTGTGACCCCGTGCGTCCAGGAACTTGCAGTGGTTATAAAGAAAATTTTTTAAGTATGGCGCCTTGGATTAGGGCCCCGGAACGGTAGCATGATTGGCGTACATTTCATTTCTTGAGGAACTTGGACTGGCTGCCCACCCCCTGACTCATATGGCGGCAATTTAGTTGGGATCGGTCCTTGTAGTGCCGAACAGGTGGAGCACGAAAGACAAACATTATTATTATCTTCCCAATTGTAGTCTTCAGAACCACCAAAAGTATTAGATATTTATGTTTTCTTGAAGTTCTTCACTCTTCGTGCTTCATGAGTCTATGAACCGAAATACTTGAAAGGAAATAGCAAAGGAATACTAAAAAATGTTGCTCTCAAATTTAAAAACGATTAGCATTAGAATAAGTTAAAATCTTCTAAGTGATTCTAAAAATAAAATAGATAAGAGGAATAATTTCTTTATAAATATATAAAGTATTTTCTTCTTCCTCTCTGCGTGCCTTCGTGGTGTACCTGGAAGCATGTCTAATGCGTAATCGAAAGGTTCGGAGTGCGAAACCAGGCGACGGCGCAGTACAAATTTCACGCCTCCTACATCGATAAACCTAATGACTCTACACATATTTTCCAAACTCGTGTTATCAGTAGAAAGGTAGCTTTCGAAAACTTTCTGCAAAAATGAGGAGAAAATTTTTACGGGAAATCTTTGAAAGCAGGCAGAATAATCTTGATTCTAATGATGACAGTATTGCCTTTTAGCAAATTGTATCTAGTACAAGATAAGGACTGTCTTAGAATCAATTAAATTTATCTTTCCAGATCTCTCTTTCTTTACATATGGCAGCCCTGTAAATCGTTTCAGTAAAAAAGAAGTAATTAAAGTGAAGTAAAATAACGGAGTGGCTGTCTTTAAATTTTATTGTAAAACACGTTATATAAACATTCTCATACCCTTTTTAAATGGCAACAAAACTTCTCAAATCATGTCATGTAACACATAAAATGTGATTAGGTAGTAAGATTGGATTTCTGTATAAGCCAACTTTCATGCATCAAGGATACCGGTGGGAATCGAAATCTGCTGGTAATGATAAATATTGAATTCTCACTGAAAACTGTTTAGTATTAGTTTTGGTTACTTAAACCTGGCAAATGGACAGCAACCATGGAACAGCCGAGTGAAACACTTTACATTGCTAATTTACATGTTACGGTTTTTCTACTCCAGGTGAAAGCAATTTTTTACTTACTGTTTCAGCTACTTTCAGTTATTAAACGTAATAAGTCTAATAACCGACACAATTCTAGATGTATATGGCTTACGAAAAACTACGGCTGAATAGCATCAGAGATTAAATTTTTGTATGTACTAATTTAGCACTATAAATGTTTGAGTTCTTATTCTTTATGTAAAATTTAAAGCAAAACATGCGCCTTGTTCATAAATCTCCTTTACCTGGCCTTTATTTTCTTAACCATTGGCTCTAGATATATACTTCTAATTACAAAACAAATTGTTTTAAATGAAGCAAAGATCATGTTATCTAATTTTTTAATTAAAAATTTATTTTGTATAAAATATAATTTATTAGATGTTCCTCCGGTCCATATGCTTATATTTCGGAAAATTTTATATTTCCAAAAAATAAAACATAAAACTAATAATAATTTTAAAAAAAATCTGAAAAGTTTCAGATTTTAAATTACGTCCAAAGGGGCGTTTTTTTTAAAACATTTTACCTTTACTTATTTATCGTGTTCTTCGCACTTAAACCATAAAATTCAGTTCAAGAGCAATATCACAAAATCATTTTAAAATGAGCATGTGTTTGAATTTCCGATATACAGTCTCGCGCGCTGGAGATAAATGTGTTTTTTTCTCGTACAGTGTTGCCATTGCTTGCTTTGAAATCGTTGAGTTTGTTAATCAAAAATTTGAACTCTTTCGGGTTTCAGTACTGGCACTTAACCAAGTCGTAATATTATTTGCATTAATTAATGAAAAGTATATGTAGTTTAATGAATTTACAAAATATGAATAGATAATAAAACAAATTCCAAATTTGGACTTCCAGATGCCCATATTCTTGTAGAAACGTACGTTATTCAAAATTTGATGGCTCTAGGTTGTTTTATCACAATGCTAGAAACATACACACATTTATGCAGATTCTTCATTATTTAATTTCTTTAAATATAATACAGGGCTCTTAACATTTGGTTGGTGTTGGTGTTGGTGTATTTAATTATGGCAAAGCACACTAGGGCTATCAGCCTAAGGGGAGGGATGCCTTTGTGGAGGACTTTCCAAGGGAAACTGGCTCGTATACACATTACACATGGGGAAAACCACGAAAACACCCATGCAGCCAGCCCGTTCGCGAGATTCGAACCTCGGACCGAACTACCAGTGTTCAGCGACTTTACCGCTCGGCCGCTCTTAACATTTGGTGGCAACAATTTAAAAAGTGAACCGACATTTATAGTGAACCAGCGCAAAATGCCAAAAACGAAATTAATATTCCTTCTGTGCAAATTGCCCCTTTGGACTAAAACATTTGACTCTTGTATTACAAAAATTGAGCGAGATATTTGGCATTCAAATCGAGAATCGTATCTAGGGGCCGCACACAAATTTGCAATGTTGAAATGTTTGCATTTATACATACTAAAAATAAACTTTCTTTAAAATCTTTAGGAAAAAGATTTTTGATGTTAAGAGATTACTTGTCGAGCATTTCGGTGTAGATTATTGTGAAATATAGTCACTAATATATATATAAATTCAAATTGGCGATCTTACTCTCG